TTGTGTGTGTGTGGTTAACCCTGGCCACATAATGAAAAGCAAAAATTACCCCCCCCCCCCCTCCCCCCCATCAGCAATAGTTTGTTAAAAATAAAGTCTCTATTCCCCTGTGATAATTACCTTGAGTATCAAACAGTCTTCCGTCCTGATTTCCGTGACCAGTCCACTGAAGCCGCTCTACATGTTGGTCTCTGCCCGGTCTTGTCACCACCCCTCTCTTCAGCATCATCATGTCTGTATCATTAGTGCAGGACTAGCTGACCAGGCATCAGGATGGGACATTGCCAATGGCAGAAGGGCTTGTGCACATTGCAATTCTAGAGGACATAGCACTGGTATGCACATAACAGTCCCATAGACTTCTATGGGGCCCTTTCCTGAAGCCGGAGACTAAGGGAGACGATCCCAGGGAAGTCTATGGGGTTGTAATGCATTTGTACAGCCAGGATGTAAACAAACACAGGAGGCCGAGACCATCGCGTTAGGGCAAACATGCGTCTGTGGAGCGGTCGGGTGGGTCAGGTTAGGTCGGGGGAAAAGGGGCAAAAAAGGATAAATGTACTTTGTTTTACAGCGCACTGTTCATTTGGTTGAACCTTAGGAAAAACTGTCCTATTTTTGCCAAGCCTCAAAACAACAAAATGCTATAGCTTGAAAATACTACCGGTATATAACTATAAAAATAAATCCAAAATAGGTATAGAGGCACTTACGGGTCTTACAGCATTTCAGCAGAGCTCAGTCCACCATTATAGAGATAGACGGAACAAAAATGTTGATCTGTATGTACGTTGGATTTGTAAGGATATTTTTGTGGATGAGCACCTGGGCATTTACCCTAAAAATAGAGTGTAGTGGCTTCCCCTGGGATGATATATATATCTATATCTATCTATATAGATTTACCAATATAGAGATATAGATATCTATAATTTTTAAATTCTTTTTTAGTTGATGTCTGCAAAGGAGAGAAGGAAACAAAGATGTCATTCCATTCATTCATTCAAGCACACGCATCGTAGAGGCAGAAATATAATTGACAGCTCGGCTGTGACAGACTAGTCAATCTCACGAGCTTAGTCTGACAGGAGATCCCAGCTCCCAGCACTGTTCCAATTAACAAGTGCTAGAGCAAAATTTAGTATCCATGCCTTGTATCACTGCAGAGGAGAAGCCGCCAAGGACTTCTCCACATCCATCATTCGCAGGGGAGGCTTGTGTTGTAAACTAGACGTGTAAATACACCAGAAGACAAAACTAGATCAGCTAAAAGCCCCTTTCCACCTTCAGATGGCTTTGATCAGTTAGCTAGTACATGTCGGCTTTCAGATATTTTCTTTTAACTGTACCTCTTCCTTTTGTAGTTTGTGTTTTTTTTACCCTTGATGCACAGTCAGGGTTGTTAGTTTCCTTTTGCATCTGTGCTGTCTGTATACATTGCTGTTGGTTATACACTATATAACCACAAGTATGTAGACACCTTCCCCCCAATTATTGAATTCACATGTTTGCAGTGAATGGTACTGTTAATGCTATAACTTCCAAAGACAATTTAGTCAATTGTGCACTTCCAGATTGTGGTAAGGCCATTTTCGGTTCCACCATTACTGTGCCACTGTGCACAAGCCAGCTCTATAAAGACATGCTAGGTGCTGCTCCAGGTTTGGTCCACCTAGATCCGCTGACGGGGTGCACACACCAGCTCAAAACCTGCCACAGTATATACTGTCACTATAAGGAAACTCGGTACTCCTGTGTCAATTAAAGATCGGTGTGTAATCTTTAATTCATCAATCCCCATACAGCATATGTCTCAGACAGAGTCTGTAACACGTTCATTAAAGACATGTGCATAGACATGGTTTGGTGTGGAGGAACTCAAGTGGCCTGCACAGAGCCCTGACCTCAACCCTACTGAACACCTTTGGGATGAATTAAAGCACTGATTATGAGCCAGGTCTTCTCATTCAACATCAGTACCTGATCTCACAGATGTTTTTTGGGTATTCCTATAAGTGTGGAGGCTGTTACAGCCACGAAGATGGGTTGGGGTGGATAATTGTATATCAATGTTTTTTGCATGGAATCTCCAACAAGGTCATATTGGTGTGATTGTCAGGTGTCCAAAAACTCTTGGCCATGTAGGCTAGATGCCAACTTTGTATCCCACATCAAAAGAACTAAATCCAAGTATGGAAATACATGACCAAAACGTTGGTAGGAAATTACAAAGAAAGCTGAAGGAAATGATGTACAAAGCCAGTCAAGTGCTATGAAGTAGAGCTGCAGCTAACTATTATTTTCAAAATCGATTAGTTAGCTGATTATTAAGTCGGATTAATCGTTTAATCGGATAAACAATAACATACATTTTAAAAAATGGCTCCAGTGATGGACCACTAGTTTGTATTGAGGTTGTAGTCCATCACAGGAGCAAGCTTGGCGCGGTGGAAGTAAAAAAATGGTGTGGTGTGCAATATAGTGAAATGGAAAGTGTAAAATTATACAGCAATGAATGCAGAATGGCATCGGCTATAGAGGACTACAAATCCCAGCAATAGTACATTATACAGCGCAATGCAGAATATCACCAGCTATAGAGGACTACAACAAATCCCAGCAATAGTACATTATAGCTGGTGGTATTCTGCATTGCGCTGTATAATGTACTATTGCTGGGTTTTGTAGTCCTCTATAGCTAGTGGTATTCGGCATTGCACCACTGTATAATGTACTATTGCTGGGATTTGCTGTGCTCCTCTATAGCTGGTGGTATTCTGCATTGCGCTGTATAATGTATTATTGCTGGGATTTGTAGTCCTCTATACAGCGCAATGCAGAATATCACCAACTATAGAGGAGTACAACAAATCCCAGCAATACATTATACATACAGTGTATAATGTATTGCTGGGATTTGTATTCCTATGTATAATATACAGCACAATGTACCATCAGCTATAGAGGAATAAAAATCCCAGCAATACATTATAGAGCACCATGTGTGGGAAAGTGCAGGCTTACCTGAGCAGTCTTCCAGCAACTTGCTTCTGAGATCGGACCTGTCTATCGGCGGCTGTTATCCCCCCACACCTGCTCCTCCTTACTACATCTCCCCGCGTCCCTGTGCCAATCGTGGATGTGGGCGGGCGGAGAGTGTGAGGCGGGAAGGAGGTGCGGTGTATAGAGCGCGGATGCGGGCGGGTCTGGCAGCGGTGAGCGTGAGTTGGGGAGGAGGTGCGGCACGCGTTTGTGGACCCGTGAACAGGGCCAACTGATCGGAAACCGATTAATCGATTTATTGAAAAAGTTGACAACTTTTTCAATAATCGATTTATAATCGATTATGTCGATTTAGTTGTTGCAGCCCTACTATGAAGACACCGAACGCAAACCTGCACCGTGCCCATTGTAGTCAAATGAACTGGTTTGCTTTACAGAAGGGACCTTAGGCACCAAGTACTTACCATATCATCTGAGAAATAACAGGTACTTCTGAATCTGATAAACACATGACACTCCTGCTGCTTTCATACAATGCAATGCTCAGTACTTGAACAGCCAGTTGTGTGAGAACGTATGCAACCTTGTCTAAATTTTGACTTGCTCGGAAAGTTGAAAAGTACACAAGAGTGTCAGACAATCTGGTAGCAGCTTGGGGCTGTTGGAGAATGCAATGGGGAAAAGTACTTAATGCTTATGGTCACTACTATAAAGTGAACCAGTTACTTACCTAGTAATATTTAAGATACAAGTTCACTTTAAAAGGAAGATATTGTGTAACCTTTAGTGTTTTATGGTGTGATTTTAACATTTTACCAGTTTGCTGTTCTATATTTTGTTCGTTTTGTATCTCCTAATGTAAATCTTCCCTCTAGTGGTCACCCTTGTATCAGGGAATATGATTTGCATTACCAGTTTAATGATTTGCTCCTTGTAGTCTCTCCTTAAAACCTTTAAAGGCTGGATTGATTAATGGCTCTGCTCTTTTCTATCGTCCTTTTCCTTCCTACAGCCAGAAAATTTGTTGTACTACAGTTTGGATGAAGATTCCAAAATCATGATCAGCGATTTTGGGCTGTCCAAGATAGAGGGATCCGGAAGTGTCATGTCTACAGCCTGTGGGACACCTGGATATGTAGGTCAGTGTGCTCAGTATGGAGGTCCCAAGGTGTGCCATGTACTCTGTGATAACATTGGCATCTTCTCAGGTAGTTGATACAGGTAGGGAATGTTTCCGGCAGTGCTCTTCTTACTGGCTGGTTGGCTTTGGCCGTAACAACGACCTGACCTCTCAACTGCAGCATTTGCAGTCAAAGTCTAATTCCATTTCAGTGTGACCAAAAACATTCTGCCATTCACTTTTGAATAAATGGAATGTGACAGCCAAACGTTTCCAGAGTCTGATGTAACTCTTATGGTAACAATAGTAGTAAGGACAATCTGAGGCTGTAAATCTGGTGCCAATCCCTACATACTTGGCACCCAGTGTTCAGTAGAGCTACCGCTCTAATATTTTATCTTTCTGTACTTAAAACCATAGAATTCTTTTTTACGTAACTGTATCCATATGGCGACCTGGAGGCGTTCTGTATATCAGCTATTGGCTGATTTTCTCAAACGTCTGCACTAAGATACAAGAAATTATAGGCATGCCTTGCATTGGGTATTTAATTTTTGATGAGATACTCTCTAAGGGTTAAGTACTATTAAAGGGATGCAGACACTGCAATTTTCCTTATTAGAACACTGAAAGCGCACCAAGTGGTTATAATGAGCCCGGCCCTCCCATTGAGGAATCAGTCTGTAAAGGTCATAAAGAACAAATGGCTACTTCTTCATAATAGAAATGTAGAAATCTGCAACAAAGTTTTTGAAAATTCTTGCAATATACATTGACCGTCCAGAGGGGATTGATTTAAAAAAAAAAGTTTTCTTTTTCTCAACAAACGTGGAGTTATTCTATAAATATGATTCGGTCCACCACCATATAGCTAAACTTAAAAGGACAGTCACGTTAGGTGGAAACAAAGCAATTACTTATGTGCTTTTTCTTTCAGCTCCAGAAGTTTTAGCTCAGAAGCCATACAGTAAAGCGGTGGATTGCTGGTCCATTGGCGTCATAGCCTACATCTTGTAAGTAATGCTTTTATTCTGTCAAATCCCATCCTTCGGTCAGGAAAAGCCGTACACCTCCAGCTGCTAAAAGCCATACAATCCAGGGATATGAGCGCATATTCTCAGGAGTGTTTAAAGAGGACCTGTCTACTCACAGAGTGTACCTGTGAGCCTTACTGATGCCAGACATAGTTTTTGGCTTCATGGCTCATCTCAGGCTTATCATTTCGGAGTCACAGATATGTTAAAGCTAGATGTGCTTTAATATGCAGCTTTTAGATCAAGACCCGTCAATGGGATTATGTGGGTTGTACATTATTTAGCTTTTATATATAAATGTTTTTTGGTAAACATATCAATACCATTAACCTTTTAATGTAAAACAATCTGAACAGGTGCCGGCACTTTATTTTTTTTTCTGGTATCCAAAACCTTAGACAACTTTTTTCTATGTACATCATGTTTTGGTGGAGTAGGGAGGGGTTAGGGTAATATTGCGGTCTGTGTCTCCTTTAGGGAGATTTCCTTTCTCTTCCTGCGACAAAGGAACAACTGGAAGTGAGAGAGCATCTAACCCAACATGATGGAAATCTCGTCTTCGACAGGATTCTCCATTGAAAAGAGCTCCTTCTATTCTATAGGCTCAGAATATACATATATGTTTTACTGGTTTTAGCATCCTCCAGGGCATCCAGACCCAAAATAGCATCTGCTGAGCTGACTTTATTTTTCTCACGGCAGATTGTGCGGCTACCCCCCGTTCTATGATGAAAATGATGCCAAACTCTTCGAACAGATTTTGAAAGCGGAATACGAGTTTGATTCTCCGTACTGGGATGATATTTCTGATTCGGGTAACAGAAACTTACTGTTCACCATTATAAATACAAAACCATAGTGCTTCCATAGACATTGCTTTCCCTTCTCCTTTATTTACTAAGAGGTATGTTTATAAAAACATTTCAGAGCCTTTCGTACTGCAAAACTGCTATGCCTACAAGCTCACCTTTTAGTTATAATTTGTATTGAGATTTTAGTCCATCAGGGGAGTGAGCTTGGAGTGGTGACTACCTTACAACACACACAGGCACCATGGGGAGCAGGCGTACCCCCCCTCCAGAAGGAAGGACAGTGTCAGCACCAACTCAGAGATGATTTGAGGATCTACAGCCGAGTGATGCACAAATAAGATACATTGCTGTTAATAGTTAGGGTGGTTGAAGGCATTTTTGAGATCTAAATCATGAGTTTAGTATCACTTTAAGAGGAGTCCTTACTTCCTGTTAAGTAGAGAGTCCCTTTAATAATTTGACAATGAAATTAGGTCATATGTGTTTTATCACCCATGCTTCATCTAAATACATGCAGACATTGACATGCACAAATGTCCAAAGTTACAACGTGTAACCTTTATTATTATGTATATTCCTCAGCAAAAGATTTTATTCAGCATTTAATGGAGAAGGATCCCAACAAGCGCATCACATGTGACCAAGCCCTGGAACATCCATGGTAAGCTGTCCGCCTTGGTCAAGGGAGAGCTAAATTAGATGCGCAGGTTAAGATCCACATGTGTATTTTTATTACCACAGTGTGCTTGCTAATTACAGGATTCAATTTTGCCAAATGGTTATTTAGCAGTTAGCACATTAAATACTCCATAAGCGGATGGCAGGAGAAAGTTAAAGAAGACCGCTTTCGACTGCCTCCTGCAAGGATTATGAATAGACAGATCGCTGATGTGGCCCATTCACCCCTGCCCGCTCTGGTGCAATAATGTGCATTACGTTGCATGCACATTCAAATGTATGGATTTTTAACGCACCAGAACAGATAAAATATCATACATATACTATTTTTTTTCCACTGATGCAGGTGTAGTGGTGCATTACAATGCATATGTAGCACAGGTGCTTTGGGTTAATGCTTTGGGGTTCCATTGACAATGAATGGCACAGGTAGCATAAGACATTCTGATTTATTTGTCTTCTATTTTCTCTTATCCTCAGGATTGCTGGGGATACGGCTCTGAATAAGAATATTCACGAATCCGTCAGTGAACAGATCAGAAAGAATTTTGCCAAAAGCCGGTGGAAGGTGAGCGACTCTGGAAAGGCTTTCTTCTTAAACAGCAGAGCGATAATGAAAGAGAAATGCATATCAGTCGAGTTATGCTTTTTAGCAGTGATGTTACGTCTGTATGTACAACGTAGCTGAGCTTTGCATATGAGTAAAGAAAGTGTAGCCACAAATATGAACAGCAGGGGGCGCTGTAATTCCTCAGATATTTCTCTTCTTGTTTCAAGAAACCTGTTACACTGACAGTCACTGAGATTTTTACTTTCTGACTTTTTTTTATATTTCATTGTTTTACACTGTCCATAACATATTATTACTTGCTTTTTATTAATATTATTAAAATATTAATATCAATCTTTTTTTTCTTTTTGCTTTAGTAAGTCATAAATTGTAATATAAAGGCAGGCGTTAAAGAGACTCTGGCACCTTGCCTATTAAGTGCATAGTTACAGGGTCTCTTTAGAGCCACCTACCCCCCTAGACACACCTTCACTGCGCTCCCCTGCTGCACTTTCCTCCATTGCAGACATGACCGCTCATTCTAAAACTGTTCACGGCTGGTAGCTGTCGAAATTAAGGATGGAGTTTAACATGCCCTGGGTATGGGGAATGCCTCAGGGAAACATTCTACATATTGCAGATAAGAAGGTGGTAATGGGGGGGGACCCTTTTTTCTGATCAATAACAGAAGTGTAGTCAAACATTAAAATATTATTATTTCCCATTTTAATACAGTGTTAACATAGTACAAGACAATGTATACAGAGCCATTTCTATTGGTAAAAACCATAGCAGCTTGAAGGCAAATGCCTCTAACACATTCTCACACACACACACACACACACATTTTGCCAGAAGCCAGATTATGTCTCTGTTGGGAATGGAACCCGGGACACTAGCACTTCAAAGGCAATGAATGCAACCCTTTAACCACCATGCTGACTTGTGATAGCCGTCACACGTGGCCAGAATGACTCCAATCTTTGTTTCTGTTCATCTCTGTTTTCCATGCAGCAAGCGTTTAATGCCACCGCCGTGGTCCGCCACATGCGCAGACTGCAACTGGGGACCAGCCAGGAGGGGCCAGGGCAGACTACACCCACCAGCCCGTGTCATGGTAACTTACTGGTGCCTGGAGACAACCATGGTGAGCAGCAACAGGGGCAGTTTGGATGATTTGAGTGGTTGTGTGTATTCAATTAAAGTGCATATTGTGGGCCATGGACTGATAGTTACGGCTGATCGGTTTACATGAATAACACGAATACATACTCTTAAAGGAGAACTCCATGCAAAAACTTTAATTCTATAGTGAACAGGCAACTTGAAGGCAGGAGGAAGCATTTCCTCAGTCTCTTCTCCCTGAGGGATCGGACTGCAATATTGTTACTTTGTAAAGAAAAGAAAGGCTTCAGCAGGGGCTGAGCTGTGTCAGACATTTGTCAACACAAATAAGAACTGCACACACACACACCAGGATTTACATGACTGTTCCGTCTCTGAGCTCAGTCCAACTCTGTCCAGGACATAGTTGCTGACCTTGGATAATACCTGAACAAAGATGGTTCTGATTTTCTGGAGAGGAAAAAGTAGATGATGGCATTGTCAGTGGGAGTTCTGTGATCTCTGGTGATGCATAACTGGAAGCATTAACCTTGCACATTATTTAGCCTTCACGCTCTTCACATGGCAAATATATTTGACATTAGTCTCACATTAAGTAAAGCAGATACTACTCTGATCATATGGCTGCATAAAAGGGGTGGCATATATATATATATATATATATACACAATTTTTGCCTGGAGTTCTTCTTCACCAAATAATTCTATGGCTCACAAATGTTCTGTTTTTTCCAGCAATAAAATGAAAACACGGCACTTGTACCTATACAAAGTTCACTCTTTAATATACCGACTACAATTTTACTATATAGGATATAGAATATAATACGTATATATCCCCTTTGACCTGGTCCGCTATCTGTAGCAGTTTGTGGCTGCTGTGTTTTGACTGTGTCCCATTGTAATGTCTTTGCTGCAGCTGTCGTTGGAGCTGATGTCATATACTTGGACTTTAAAGGAGAACTATGGGGTTAAGGCCTTTCCCCATAGTTCTCCTTAGGGTAACGGGAGGACACAAACTAGGTCCTCCCGTCACCCTAGGCTCAGTATACTGAGCTACTGCTCGCGGTATACTGAGACGCCGCAGCTGAAGCGGATCCCGACAATTGTGCCGGGATCCGCCCAGCTGCGTGAGTGACAGCTGGCTCTGCTTATCTAGAGGCAGAGCCAGCTGTACCCACCCCCTCCCCCGTCCGATCCGCCAGTCAGCGCTGGCGGATCGGAGCGGGGAGGGGGGAATCCAGCCCCTCCCCTGTCACGACAGAGAGCCGTGACAGGATCGAGAGGTGAGCGAACGCCGGTATGTGTTCGCTCACCTCCCGATTTACTAAGCCAACCTGTGACAGTCTCATTGTCACAGGTCGGCTAGAACTATGAGGTGAGTGAAAAGCACTCACCTCATAGATCTCCTTTAAGAAAGACTTGGTTCAACAACAGAGCTTGTTGACTCGAATCAAGAGCTTTGGACGTGGAGGTAACGTAGAGTAGGTAGGTAGCTAGCTTCTAACAGAGGGCATCAGCTGCGGAGAATGGAAGGAAAGGGGTGACCATTGGGAGCGTGTGTTTGAGAGTGATGAGGAGCTGCTTTGCGCCTACATCATAGGCTTTTGTAGGCTATTCTCCACCATAATAGAGAAGAGGACTTCAAGGCAGGTTTCTTCTCTGTGTTTTGGGGATTCCTGTGCCACCTTGGCTGTAGATGTGCCCTCTGTTATAGTCTACTTTGACATCTGAGCTCAGAGTTGCAATCTGCGCAGATACCATTTGATGTCGCTCACTACATGACTCGTGTATAGTAAGTGTACTATCGGGAAGATAAATTGTTGCCATAACAACCAGTAAGAATCCTTATTTTATTTCCTCACCTGGAATGCAAAAATTACATTTGGAAGTCGGTTGGATGCTATGGAATGCAGCTGCAAGGTTTTCATATATAACATGTTTCCTATCGGCCCCTAAGTGACCGCACACAGCCATGAAAGATTGCATAACACCATTCCCATGATTGCTTCGTTTGTGGACTGCTTGCTGCAAGCTTTGCTGACTGAGCTGCCTGCAGCCAAGGAGAAAGGTCATAAAGCACAGTCCAAACATGGATGGAAGTACAAGCCAATCACTGACTTGTATCCGTGTCTAATCTGACCGATCATTTGGGATCTAGTTGGACAGAGCCAACAAAACAGAAGTGGCCTAACTGCCAAAGCTTTAGAAAGTTGAATTTCTATCACTAGTTAATATCTGCTTGATCTAAACTAAACTAAATCTCACCACACTTATTGGTCAGCCTAGCCATCCAAATGGCAAAACCAGCTGGACATCATTACATGGGTTTGTAGCCCTGACATAGGATGTGTTTATTTTACTGCCGACCTCCAGATGTCTCAGAAAAATTGTCATCTGTGAAGTGAAGATATGATCTTTATAAGCAGCATACCGGTTCTCCCAAGGGTCTTATTATCATTTTCTGAATGAAGCATTTTTAGGATGGTCACAGGTCATCGAATGGGAAAACACAGTATAGATCAGGCAGGCCATCTTTCAGACCCTCAGATGGAGTTCAACAACTGTGGCTGAAATGCTTTCAATGACTTGTTTGAAGTGAGTTGGCAACAAACTAAAACAAGTTTAAAGTGAACTTATCAGCCTTCTAAAACTGAACGTCCCACCAAAGAGAAGTCTATCATATAAGGGCTCCTTTACTGGCCACTGGGATGATCTCATTAAACTGGAATTCTAGACTATGGATGAGTCTGTACTCATATTAGACATGGAATACAGAGCTGTCCATAGGAATGAACAGGCACTGCAGTGTGTGATAGTGTAGGGTCCTACTGGGACAGTTATAAAGAAGAGGTTGTGCAGCTCTAGAAAGAACTTCACAGTAAAGATCTCAGAAGTGGGGCTGCAGGTAAGTGCACTATAGCCAAAATGATGTTGACAAAACACCAAACTATTGAGTTCAGGTATTTCCAGTAATGCACTGCTGCAGCATACAAATACATCTTAGACTATTGTGCCCTTTCTACCTTATGGTAACAGTTTGGGGGAAGGCCTTTTGGCTGTTCCAGAATGACTGTGCCTTTATGCAGAAAGCCAGCTCCAAAAAAGACATGGGTTGGTTGATGAGGCTGGTGTGGAGGAACCTGAATGACCTGCACAGAGCCCTGACTTCAACCCAATTGAACACTTTTGGAATGATTCAGAATACCGATTGCAAGCCCAGTCTTCTCATCCAACATCCATATCTGACCTAGCAAATACTCTTTAGGAAGAATGGACACACATTCCCACATACAATATATCCTCCAAAATCTTGTAGAAATCTTCCCATAATAATGGAGGCTGCTATGGAACTTAAGTGACCTGCAGAGAGCCCTAACATCAACCTTATTGAACACATTTGGGATGATTCAGAACACCACTTGTGAGCCAAGTCTTCTCATCCAACATCCATATCTGACCTAGCCAATACTCTTAAAGCTAAATGGGCACAAATTATCACATACACCCTCCAAATTCTTGTGGATAACCTTCCGATAAGAATGGAGGCTGCTATGGAAGGGAGAAAATTCATATTAATGCCCATAGTTTAGAAATGGGATGTCCAAATAAGCGCATGTAGGTGTGATGATCAGACGTCTACAAACTTTTGGTCATGTAGTGCAGTTATGCTTGGGGAACCGACTACGTGGGGGGTCTATAAAGGACAACTTTATTTCAGTAGTCATTGCAGGATTCAACAACCTGCAATGGTCTGCGTGTCTATTTCGGGGGGGGATGGGGTTGGGGAATAAAAGTACATGTAATAAAAAATATATTCTGATATTAACCACAGAAATTTATCAGAACAAAATCTTTTTTATGATCGTAGTCCTTAAGACATGTTAGTCTGGCAGCTCCCACCAGCTGATCCCCCTCCTCTCTGTATGTTCTTTACAAATCTGAGGTTCTGCTAGTTGCTGTAATTAGTTTTCCTTGTGTAGAATTGCTGCTCTGCACTTGTAGCACTCGGGTAGATTATGTTTAATTGCTCCCTCGTTTGTATTTGGGAAGCAAACCGTTTATATGGTGGATTGCAAGTAACGGAGAGGTGTTGTGACTCGTCTAATTACACAGCCATTAATTCCTGCAGATCTAACTGTTACTGTAGATCACATTATAAATAAATGTTTTCTGGCAACTCGTGTTGTCTACAGAGAAGGATGAAAAGTGGTTAAACAATAGAGGTGCTTTTATATCCCCCTTAATTCTGTAACTCACTGACGATAAAACCCATTCAAGGGTTGCCATTTTCCATGCAGCATGATGCCGTTAATGTCACCTCAATCTCCGTGCAGACTTCATGGAAAGTAAGCAACAGCTTAAGTTTACTGGAGCATGGGATTAGGACCCTGGGAAATACTGTAAACTGAAGAGTATTAAAGCTTATCGCCAGACAAACCGGTAAATGCACCAATAAAATGCACTTATACAGCTGTTTTACCTGCCAACGGATTTGGACTTTCCTCCACCCAGTTCTGAGATTTCCACAACCTAGGCAGACAGTACAGCCAGGCTGGTGTCCTGACTTTTTTCCACTGCAGTCTAGCAACAGGTTAGGTCACCTACCTGCCCCCAGCCAGTGATTGTACAATGAAAAAGTGGCAGCAGACAAAGACTGGCTATACACCTATCAATTTTTTTTGTTTAACCCTCGGGCTGAACAGAAAAAATTGACACGATTCCTCCAACACAAACAGCGTGTCAATCGCGGAATCGCCGCTGTTTGCATTGTATTCTGACAGGTGCCGGCAGCCCCCGTCAGAATACCCGATCAGAGCGGGCAGCTCATTGGCTGCCACCTCTGATCGTACAAAC